CATTGTGTATGGAGCGCATTAAGACAATACAGGTTCATTAAAGGGAGCCTAAACGTTTCCATATATCCTACATCCTCCCCAAGCGGTGTGAAGTGCCGCCACTTATTCACGCTCGTTTATTACACTGCTTTTGTTCTTTTTCTTTTACAGAGGATGTCTGCAGGCTTAATATTACCTTCACTTGTGATGCTTTAAAGTTTATTTTACCTGATAATTTTTTTCTCTCCTTTTGGTCTTTGTTTTAGTTAAACAGCATCCAAGCTCTTTAGATGGTAACTTTTTCCCTTCATATCTCCGATACAAATGTTCTTTTTACTTTGTTAGAGAACAATCCAAACAAATCTCGACTGACTGCCGGGACCAATCTGTCTTGGTTCTTTTGTTCCTTGTTTACGCTCCTTGATAGTCTCCTATTTCCTTGTTACAATTGGAACTGTTTATTAGATCCTCCCAATAACAGATTTTGTCTTGCAACAATTATGTGAGGATATGCAGTAACGAATCAAAGAGGTTTAATGAGGAGATACCTAACTGATCGCTTCACTTCATCAATCCAATCAAGGAGCAGAAAGACAGTGGAGGAAACCATGATGTCACCAGATGTCTTCAAAATTACGGCCGACCAACGAATCAATCAGATTAAAACCGTGTTTCGGTGTAAATCACTTTGCAATATAGGATTTATTTTATTAGTAAGTGAAGTAGATTCATAAAAACCAAGAAACAGATTTTTTTGTTTTTTACATTCATGCTTTTGAGTCTTTTTAATTAAATAACTCATTAAAAGATGTGTAGTTCAGTTTCAGAAATCAATTATTCTGTGATGAAACAGGTGACAATCAGGTGGCCCTTATTTAAAGAACATCTCAGCCCGCTTATGGAGTCTTTTTTTTCTCTCTACATCTAATATGTAAATAATGCATCTCATGGAAAAGCAGCAGGGTTGGCAGACCAGCTGTGATTGACTGATGGATAGACAGCGGCATGGACAGCAATCAAAGGGATGATATTGGGATGTAGAGATGAAATTTCTCATTGCTTTTAGAGGCTACTTGGGTCTGGGGTGGCCGAATCTTTTTGCTGTAGAGCTACCGCCATCTCTGATTTAAATCAGTTGTTGTTTAAATTGGTCATTAAACATGGGGGGGCAAACAGATGGTTTTAGACACAAAATCTGGTTTGCAACAAATGGGCAATAAGTTGGCAAAACAAAAAGCACTATAAGACATATAAGTTCACTCTTTATCATAAATAAGAGAATTCTAGGGTTATTTGTCCTGTAATGAGTCACCACAGAATGTACTCGTTTGTCCTTAAAAACGGGACAGAAATGGGTGGGTGCTGAGAAGAACAGTTCACTTTGAGTAAAAAGTGTATCGGAGAGGGGGAAACATTTAAAGCAGTAGAGAAAGTGATAGGCTGTTTGCTTGAGATTATCTCCAACGCTTTACGTTGGAAAGCAAAACCAGAGAGACAAGGAAAAAAACAAAAGGCTGCTTTTTAAACGGATCAAAGACTAGCTTAAATGGAAAAGACTCAGCCAATCATCAGCTCCAATGGGACCAAAGCGTGTTTGAAGGTAACAGTGAGAACTGTGACAATGAGAAGATGCCCGTATGAAGCTATTCTGCAAGAAGCCTATTGGTTGGTTAGATGCAACTGCAGCGCTCAGTTCCTGTGGACTTTCCCTCCGAAAAGCAGTCTAGAAATGGCGAACACAGAGGGTGCAGCACGTTCTGTATCGGTTCTTAATGTGTTCGCCATTTCTAGACTGCTTTTCGGAGGGAAAGTCCACAGAAACTGAGCGTTGCAGCTGCATCTAACCAACCAATAGGCTGCCATTGTAGCCTGAAGACACCGCCCCTCATTATCATATTAAAGCAGAAGCGAAGAGGGGAAAATAGAATGTGATAAATTAAAAGATAAGGAAATACTTAATGAATAAGGGAAATTAGAAAATGGGAAAATTTAAAATTTTTCAAACAAAAGGTAAATGAAAAATAGATAAAAGAAAAATTGGTAAATAAAAAAGGGATATATGAGAAATTGATTAATGAAACCGGTAAATAGGAAATCGGGTTAATGGAAAAAGGAAATTGAACAGTGGTTAAATTAAAAGATAGATTAATGAAAAATGGTTAAATAGATAAAGAGATTAATGAAAAATGGGTAAATGAAAAATAGATAAAAGAAAATGGGTATGTAAAAAAAGGGATATATGAGAAATTGATTAATGAAACTGGGAAATAGAAAATCGGTTTAATGGAAAAAGGAAATTGAAAAATGGTTAAATTAAAAAATAGATTAATGAAAAATGGGTAAATAAATAAAGGGATAAATGAAAAATGGACAAATGAAAAATAGATAAATGAAAAATAGATAAAACAGAAATTGAGAAATAGATAATCTGAAAAAAAAAATGGCTTAATGAAAAAGGGAAATTGAAAAGTGGTTAAATGAAAATTAGATTAATGAAAAATGGGTAAATGGATAAAGGGATAAATGATAAAGAGATAAATGAAAAAGAGAAATTGGGAAATTGATAATATGAAAGATAAATAAATTAAAAATTGGTTTAATGAAAAAGCTAAATTATTTAACAAATTTTTTATTTATTTCACTCATTTTCTTCATTTTTGATTTTTTTTTAACTCATTTTTTATTTATTTCACCCATTTATTTATTTATTTAATTTTGGCTGAAATGGCTCTCCATACAGCAGGTCTAAACACTTTGCATATAATGTTTTGGGAAATGATTTTGGCTTTTTTATTTTACTATTACGTGGGTTTGAATTTTAATTTAATGAATTTAATTGTATTATTTTGAGGCCTAATCAATACAAGGTTCATGGAAGTTACGTTCTCGGCAAAGGCAAGCAAGCTAGAGTGTGGTATCCCGCTGGTGGCAGCAGACTAGTAAATATAGTCTAATGACAGAAACGAGAAGGAAATATGGCACAGAAAAATGTTTTCGATTCGTCCGCTCATGAGAGACTTTATCTCCACGATTTCAGAGCGCACCTGAGCAATAGGACACCTGTAACCAGCCAGGCCACCCTGCCTGTGGCTCAGAGTAAGAGCACAACGCCGCGCACATTTGTGCATTGTTCATGCAGTTTAACGTAGCCATAGTAATTTTGAGTGTTATTTTGATTTTTAGTTTTTAGTGTAATGCAGAACTGTTCAATAAAGTTTAAATAGTATAATAATATAATTATTTCCTTGTGGTTTGCATAAATAGATTTTTCAGCTAATAGAGTCACATGTGACATATACACAGTGACTCAGGTTCATGCAAGCAGACCAAATCTACGTTGTTATAGTGTTATTGAGAAGTTTAATTAATAGCACATATATTCACCTGAGAACTGCTGATGCCTGTCTGTTACAAAACCTGGTTGCGTGCACTGAAGGCTACATGACAATAAAGTAGTGAATCTCAATCTATTTATGTATTCATTCTTATTGTATTTTAAATAGGCCTATAGGCTCATAGGTCTTTTAACAAAAAAACAACAACAAAATTTTCACAGCATCTCCTGTTAAAAATGCCTTCCAGCAGCCATGTCAGAAGCTGAAAAATTTGGAAACCTCTGGGCTATATCCCAATTCCTGAAACTTAATCCATTGGAGGCCTTGTTTCTGATGGAAAATCGAGCGATGCAGATTATTAATGCATTAATATTATTTAAATTATTTCAAAGAGATTATCAATACTAAATATTTCTTAGTTTATTCTGTATATTTTGAGTGTTTTTACCAACTGTTTACCTACTTCAATTATGTATGAGCTACATCTGAGAGTATAGGATTATTTCTGCTAAGGCCATAACAGATTATCGGTATTTTCATTGTTTTTGAAAACCAGTGAGCTGTTAGCCACTGCAAATAAATGAAATGATCAAGTTTCTCTATAAAAGAACAGTAGAGGTCAAAATAAGGAGGACGGTGGATTAATTGTCTCTTACAATTGATTTGAATCATTCAGGCAATTGATTAGAAAACAGATGACCGGGTCACTGCTGAAAATAATTCAGCCCGTTTGCCTCAGTTTAATCATCTTTACTTGTTTTATTTCTAGCCAAAATAGCCGCCAACTCCTTTGCTGCTGAACGGACAGTAACAAAGGGGGATCCATATTTTCCAGCCTCAAATAGTACCCTCAGTGGGACTGATGTAGAGAGTTTGCGGGGAAGCCAACCTCGCCGTCAGGCATATGTAACACAGCATTGGGGCTATCAGTAACTTGCTAAAATTTGAAAGGAAAGATTCAGCTTATGCGAGGGATGCCCAAGTCCTCAAGAGCTGTCATCGTAAAAGATTAGGATGCATTCCTGCTATAGTCTACCTGAATCAAATAGCTGAATTCCTTCATTAGCTGATCTTTCAGCTCTGCAGAGGCCTGGTCATGTGTCATTCATTTGATTCAGGCTTGTTGTGGAGAGATATATCTAACACTTGTAGGAATGTGAAAACCTGACTTTACCTCATTATATGCAGAATTAGCCAGCTGACTAACAGCTGAGCTGATACTTCCTGAAAGTATTAGACCAACCTGTCATCTTAATTGATTGGTTGGCCAATTAGGATGACAACTAATTATTTAATGTCACCCAAAGCTTTAAAGAGGAACGGCAATGTTTTTACATTGGCCCCTTGATTTTACGTTATTACATCATGTTCTACTCACCCATATGAGTTTTGTGTCATTTGTAGCCGTTCTGAGGATATTCCGGTTATATCCAAGTAATGTCTTCCTATGGGCAACGAGTTTAAGGCACAAACTAAACTGTTCATAATTTATTCTTTATGGTACACCAGCATTCATAACATGTAGGCAAATCACAGTCCCCCAGACATCCATGGTTATATTTTTTATTTGTATATGTTTTAAAAACAAAGCAGTTAAATTATGATAATGATCAGCATAATCATAATTAAAGCATCTCTAATGGTATGATCTGAGCCACCAGTTTTCTGATGGTTTATTATTTGCAGGCATTGTGTGCAGACAGATCCATCCAGGTTCTGACTCCGGTAGAGGAGGACGTGGAGGTGAAGCAGACTATGTTGTTTCCTCGCAGCAAAGAGGACTACTACGGGAGGCTGAGTGAGGAGTGCAGAGACAGTCAAAGCTGTAACAAACACATGGATAGCTTGAAGGTAATCAGATTTAAAGGTATTTCCATATTTGTTTCATTCTTTCTAGTTTTAAATAACAAAAAAGAATCCCTCTTTGAAGCAACCTGAGTGTGAGGAGCCACCACAGGCTAGATACCCTCAGGCCGCCCCTGCACCTCCACCACCCTCTGCTTCAGGAAGAACCGCAGCAAGGAGAATAGAGCAGGTCCAGATTGCCGCATCGGGTGAGACAAACATTTCTCTTTATCTTGTTTGATAACTCTTTTAGCAAAGTAAGGAAACAAATTGTACTGTTTAGCAGTTGCTATGTTTAATCTGTGATGAAGATGAGTGGGGCATAAACCGTATTTGATTTATTTTGCAGTTATTAAAGGTTTTAATCAGTCCATGGCAGCTGGGAGTGAGAGAAGCGCCTCTGCTGATAATACAGTATTTCCTGATACAAACCTCCTGGCTGAGAGGAAACTCCTGGGTGACATGAAGAACATTAAATCGCTGAAGGAGTCAGGGATGTCAGGAGTCTTTGCTGGACAAGCAGTACGTCTGCCGCCTTGTTACACTACAAATAATGAAAGAACTTTTCAGAATTTTATAAATGTATACAGTTAATATTTTAAAACCTGTTTTCTCTTCAGTCTGGATTGTTATAAGAACACATTGCATTGCCTGCTTCGATTAACAAGTTTTAAAAATCATCTTGTTATGCAAAAACACAACTTTTTTGTCCGTCAATTCACTATTTTTGGATTTCCTCACAGATTGAATTTGAAGTGAGCGCAACCCCTATCAAAGGCTCACAGGAATCTGGCTCCTATGAAGGAATTACCGTTTTATCGGGGTGTTTATACACTCATACACTACATCCTACTTATTTTTATTTTTCATTTTGCTTCTTTCCAGAGCAAGATGGTGGTCCTGCCAACTGAGGAGGCTAACCTGTCAGACATCGACTATCTGGTGCCCACCCACGATGAGAAAGGTCACCCCATAGCTGAGTGGAAGAGGCAAGTCATGGTGAGGCAACTGCAGGCCAGGCTGCTGGATGAGGAGGATCAGAGGAGGAAGGTAAAGTCATTAGTTAGATCCATAAGAGTGTCGTCTTACTTACATATCTTTATATTTTATTCCGAAAGTAAAATATCTGGAAGGAAAGTGTGTTAAAAAAAGAACAGGAGAGTTACCGCTTTCAATGGGATTCCTCGAACGATACAGACAAGATGAATGAACTCTTAAGATTTCGGTTTACATTTGGCTGCTTAAAGTTAAACATTAAAAAAGTTATTCTCTTAGCAACATCAATGGTTGAGTTACGTATGTCAGAACAGTTTACTCAGAGCCATAGAGATAAAAGTTGGGCTAGCGGAAAACCAAGAAAGTTAGGTTGCTAGGGAGTCCAATATTTTAGCTCAATCAAAACACAGGCAGATATGTGACTTTTAGTAATTATTTCACAAAATACACAGCCATAAGGGAAAAAACTCACTGGTTGAGAGGTTGTACCCCTTATTATACTTCTGTTGTTAGCAGTGTGAAATGTGTTTTTTTCTTTTTTTGTTTTTTTATTCTTAGGCCTATTCCTGACTCTACTTAAAATAATGGGTGTTAAGTATGAGTGGATGCAGTTTTACAAATTCCTTTTTAGTATTTGTACTTGGTTAGTATAAACATAACTAATAAACTGTTTTATCCATCTCAAACATATTCTTTATTATTATAATTGAACATCAGATAGAAGCAGAGAGCATGATGTGATATTTAAGATCTGTTGTCTATTTTCCTCTAGTTTATTATGGCTTAATAAAGTCTAATGCTCATGTAAATAGCTAACATGCGTGTCACCATTGCTGTTTCCCATTGTCTTCAATGGAGTTGTCAGAAATCTCGTATCTCTATGGTTTTTGCCAGTCCTAGAAAAAAAAACAAAAAAACGTATTAGGGAAAAAAACAAGAGTTGGACCAGCTTGGACCTCTAAGTATCATTAATTAAATTGGCTTTTAAAAGCGCCCCTTTTAAAAAATTAATGCAGAAACAGCCTTCCTGTGAACAACTTTTAAGCTCCTATATCATGTAGAATATATATATATTTTTTGTTTAGCTTTTAAAAGTCTTATATTGTTATTCCCTCATTAAAAATAATTTCCAAATTGGTATTTTTCTTGATTCATGCATGTATGAGAAATTATTGGTGAATTCTGCTCTCATGGACCTCCCAGTCCTGGAAAATTAATGGTACCCTGGTCTCAGCTGTTTTTACCTACCTACTCCAGGACAAACCACCTTGACTGAGCTCGCCTGCACAATAATCAACATTCCCATTTCTGCTCAAACCTAAAACAAAGTAGCTCTTTTAGCAGCTAATCTGTACAGTGACAGCAACTGTTCTTTTTAGCTAATGTCAAGGAACTAAGGTGTGTTTTTTGGTTGACTTTGTTCAGTCTTCAAAAAGAAGAGCCTAATCACTATAAGCGGTTGGGTTTTACAAACCTGGGAGTTTGTGTTTGTCTTTGGCAGTTTCTTCACCAATAATCTCAAACTTCCCCTTCATCAGTAGATCTATTGAAAAAGCTGTGTTTCAACAACTAAACGACTTCCTAACAATGTTAAGTTGCTTCAGCGTCTTCCAATCAGACTTCTCTGCTCACCACAGCAAAGACTGCCCTTGTCAAGGAGTTCATTGAAATCTTTATAAATGCACAAGAACAACAGTCCAATTATTATTGGATATTAGTGCAGCATTAAGCATTTTTAATTACTCTGTTTGTTTTTTTTGAGCGCCTGGAAAACTGGGTCAGCCTTTCTGGTCCAGCACTGGACTGGTTTAAATCCAGTAGGTAACTTTAATTTAAAGACGTCAAAACTCACATGTGGCGTTCCCCAAGGCTCCATCTTAGGGTCCCTCTTATTCATTATCTTTATGCTCCCTCTAACTCAGATCTTAATACACAACAGAAGTAACAAACTTTATGATGTGTTGCAGAAGGGACACAGCTGTACATTACATTGTCACCAGGTGACCATTAACCCATCCAAACTCTGGGTAAATACAGAGAAGAAACCAATGCCTGAATGTAACAAAATCATCTTCAGCTGAATAAAAACAAAACTGAAGTACTTTTTTTGACCAAATAAGAGCATTTACAATTTAGCACACAGTTTCAGTTAATCCAGCTGGAAACCACCAATCAGGTTTTTAATCTGGGAGTAGTGATGGACTCAGACCTGAACCTTCAGACGAACATAAAGACAATTGAAAATCGGCCTTCTCTCACCTAAAAAAATATTCATGACTAAAGGACTAATGTCTCAGCAGGATCTTGATAAACTAATTTATGTGTTCATCTTTAGTAGAATTGATTACTTAAATTCTCATGTAGGGCACTTTATAGTGGGCAATATGAATAAGCATGCCATGACTGCTTGGTGAACCTCGACTTGTACAGAGTTGATACCAAAGTGGATTAGCAAAACAATCCTGATTCCTACAATGAAAACACCTGATGTAGAGTTTAGAGCTGTGAGTGAATAAAATCACTTGCTAAACTCTTGCAGTAGAATTGACTTATTCACATATCTGTATTATAGCACATTGTTTAATGCTTGTGTTTTAGTTTTCAAAACATCCTTAAATGTTACAGTGTTCTTAGAGTGATGTCATAAAAGGGGCGGTACCCACCAAATGTCTTGTTTCAAGGTTGGATAGCAAATAGCACCAAAATGAACAATAATCTCTACAAAATAATACTCTCTGGTAACAGAGGTAATATTCATAATATACACACCTGGAGTTGACTTTACAATAATACAAATTACAATTTTGGACTTTTAAAGTAAAATGTTTTCAAAGACATTTTGACATCCTATAGTATCGTAGATCAGAGCTGCACCTTTTTATCTAAAGATTTCCACTGCAAAAATTTTTAATCTGAATAAGTAATTTCTCTTAAAATAAGTGCCTTTTATCTGGAATTGAGGAGGTAAGTGACATACTTTGCCAATGGAACAAGACAATCTACATTTAAAATAAATAAAAACAATTGTCAAAAATAGCTTATTTCAAGTGCATATTGTCTAATAATATCATTTTTAGAGTAAAAAAAACTAATTCCATTGGCAAATTATCTTATTTACCTGTTCGAATTAAGGCCAAATATGCTTAATTTAAGACCTTTTTGTTTATTTCTAGATCATTTTTGCAGTATACTTTGCAGAGAGGTTTAAAAGATCACCTTTTATAAATGTATCTGTCTGGAGAAGAGAAGAAATAAATCCCCAGCCCTTAATGCACACAGAGACATGAACATAAGAACATTATATCAGCACCAACACCTGATAGTGTCCCCTTTCATGATCTAGGATAAACTTTTCTTCAAAACAGATAAAATGATGAAGAATCAGATTAGAGACACAGGCTTAAGCATGAAAAGGAGATTATTTTCAGCATGATTTTTAGTTGAAGCAACGACAAAATCCACAAAATTAGCAGAGCTAAAGTTTGCTGTGGAGTTACGTCACTGGAGTCCAGAGTTAAATCTTTGGAGTCGCACAAAAAGGGCTATGAGGACAAGAGACGAGCTAATTAGTGGGTGGATTTGGAGAACTTTCACTTGCTATTGGAGGGAAACATTGTCCATTCAAGATGTGGGTTACTGAATCCATCACAGTGTAGCATTCATGCCGCTAGGTTATTCAGCACTTTTTCAAACCCTTAGAAATCTGCATTTACATGTTTTCACCAGGAGTAAAGCTACTGCATGTGTCTCTTGAGAAATGTGTCTCAGTATGTCCTAGCTAGAGTTGTCATGATCGTTGGAGTGGGCTGAACTTTGGCAAACCTCATGGACAGAACTGCTCAGTAGTAACTGGAAATGTTTAAACGTGTTGTTGCAACAGAAGGTCAGAGAAGAACCTTAGAGTAAATGTTCAGAAAATTCACAGCGTGTAACTTGGATTCATTTTGTCCATGAATTAAAAACAGGAAAAAATAGAGAAGTCTTAAGGAAAGCAGCCTCATATCCTTCATTTTAGCGCTAGTTTATGTTGATAACATCTGTATATGGAACTAAATATCCCCTACACATGTACTAAATGTGTTTAAAAATGCCTCAATTAAGTCTAATAAGATATAAAAGCAACAAGTGTTTCCAGCTGTTCCAATTGAGCTGGATCAATTAATTGGCACCCCGTGGATTTTTTTGGCAACAGCCTTAAAATAAACCCACCTGTATATTGCAATGGCCTCCTCTGACAGCGGTAATGTTGGAGGAAAAAAAGCAAATTTGTCACATTTGAGAACAATTATTCAATCAGCTATTTATAAAACATTTTCTTTTCTTTTTTTTGTTACAAGATTACCCATTGGAAAAGTTTTTTCTCCTTCCAAACCATCCATAGGTAGGTAGGTAGGTAGGTAGGTAGGTAGGTAGGTAGGTAGGTTCGGGCGGGCGGGCGGGCGGGCGGGCGGGCAGGCAGACAAACTGTTTTTCCGAACATTTCACTTTTTGCATTTTTACAGTTCAGGGGGACGTCACTTCATCAGTTTTCATTCTTAAATGTCCACTAAGAACTGATATTCTAGCTCAGCTGCAAACTTTTAGTGTGTTTTATTTTTATCGTTATCTAAGATGTTGTTGCCCTTTAAATGAAGATCAACACCCAGAGAGAGGACATAAAGAAAAGCTAGTTTTTGAAAGTAATATATTTCTTTTGTTTATAAAAATAAAATTTTAACAATAAATCAGATTTGGTGTGAAAAAAAAAATGTAAATTCAATTTTTAAGCCATATTGCTCAAAAATCTAATTGGATATCTATGGACAGCTCGATATCCATATGAACCTATGTTGATGTAAATCTTACTTATATTGATTCCAATACTAAATATACAATTAAATAATAAAATGCACAGTTGATTAATAAAAAAAATAAAAACAGCATTGCTTAAATTATTCATGAATGTAAGTAAAAAATTAATTTATGTATTTATATTTGTTTGGAAATATAGCATGAAATAATTTAATGTGTTTTTCGGGGTCACTATTATTTTTGGGAGTCACTACTTTGGGAGTCGATGTCCATAAACATTATAACCAAGACTAAATCATTGGCTCAGAAGTAGACAGAATTAACCTATTTTATGGGAACCTAATTCAATCTATCTAAATCAGGGAGAAAATATAAAGTGCACCTCCATTCTTTCCAGAGTTGAAAAATCCTGCAACATGTTCTGTCAGTAAACTGCATGAGAAATTTGACATTTGCCAGTAAACTGTTTTGCTCGTTCAGTCCAAACCTAAATGCTTTCACTTCATATAGATCCGTTATTCTAAAATAAAATAGTCCCCAACAGAAAAGGCTCCTATTAATACTTCATGTGTTTTACAATTTCATGACTTTTATTAACACCGTTTGATTTTTCTGTCATCGTTGCTTCTCCCAAACAAATAAGCCATTGAGGCTGTGATGAGAAAAGCACCAAATGTACTGTGACTCTGTAATGTCATTTTAAATCTACATTACATCTACGTTTAAAGTCACCATTTACTTTTAATTGCTCATAACAAATCATTCACACATAGCGCTTTGTGAGCCGAGTCATATTTCTTGAGGTTTGGACGGGAGCTGTGTTGCAGTTTTACTGTATCATTACTGTTTTCCATCACATTTAAGACGCTTGACGGACGTTATAATGACATCCTGTATATTCATCCGACTGTATTATTTACAGGAAAATGGGAACAGATATGCCAAAGTCAGCTGGAGGTACTCCCAAGCCCACAATGCCATCCTGGGACCCTCCGGTGAGCTGCTGACTGAGGATGACCTCATCTATCTGGAGCAGCAGATTGCCAACGTCTCTCTGCAGAGGAACTGTGCAGGTTACGAGCTGGAGCTGGCTCGTCTGGCTGAGGAGCTCAGGCACATCCTCCCAGCTCCCATCGTCAACATCACTGTCAACACCCAGTTCAGGAACTTCAAGAGCCAGGTTCCCCTACCTGTTTGGTGTGGCCGGATCTCAGGCATCGTCAAAAGCATGTCTCTCCTCATGACCAACCTGACAGACCAGCCCTACTGTAAGATGCCCAACACTGAACTCATCACCGTGTTTTCCCAGGCCCCGGACAGACAGATCACCAATAGGGTGCGCAGGGAGAGCATTGAGGATGAAATCCATCATTTCGGAGTGTCTGTGAGGACTTTGAGGTCAAACTTTGAGAATCAGGGCACATCTTTACCAGACCATCCAGAGGAAGGCCTTACGTTCTGTCCTTCCTCTCTGCTTGAAGATAGACAGTTGAAGGAGTTGCAGCCGGCAGCTGAAACAGACCAGAACAGTGATTCTGGGATTGATAACGATGAAAACGTGGCAGATGTCCAGGAAACCACCAGCCTCAGGAAGGAGCGCATAGTAGTCCTGTTTTTAGGTCACTGGAAAAAGTCTGCCTACTCGGTGACACTGAAGAGCAGGGATGCGGTCAAAAGGACGATGAGCAACAGCAGCACTGGGGCCCATGCAGAGTATGGTTCTGGTGCAGCGGACAGCGCGGAAGGCGACGAGTCGGTGATGATGAACAGCTCACTGGGACATTTCTTTAAACAGAGGAGCGCCGTCAACAAGATGCTGGGAAACTGGAGGAAGATGATCTCCAGCGTCCCCTCCAGACAGATACACAGGTAAGACTGGATGAGCAAAACTTTTATAATGGTACCAGACATCACAATCTATTTATTCTTACATACAGGGCAGTACCTGTTTAAACCTTTGCTGAATCAGATTAAAAGATGAGGGAAGCTCTTTCTTCAGCAAACAAAGTTTCCCTGATGATTGATCAATATTAGTATAACAGAAGTACTAGTTTTTGTAGTAAGTAGCTGTACGCTATGGAGCTAAATCGGTCTCAATTTTGACAAATACACATATGTGATTCAAACATGCACAGGACTAGCTCCACAAACACAGCATGATTTACGCAAGCATACAAGATTCACACATGCACAGCACATGATTCGGCAAAGTATTTCTGGTACATAAACAGTTAAAAAATAAATTACAAGGTATCGGTGGTCTTTAAACTTCACTGCATTGGTGTGTGGATTTTTGAGACTCTCCTGACTTGCCTCGATACACAAATGCATTTTTTTTATACGGGATGGTTTGCAACCAATCACAGAGCTCCCTTCTATAAGCCAATCACAAGAAAGCAATCCACGTATGATAACTATTTGCTCCGCTCCAGTGTTCTGTCAGCTCAGCATACCGGGTCAGGCCAGCATACCCTTAGTAATACACGTTACATAGAGTTTCCTCCGTCTCCACTCTCCTTATATCCAAGCACACGGTTTTATTTTGTGATGTAGTCAGGTTTTTGTTGTAGTTTGTGCATAAAACAACATAAAAAAAAAATCATTCACTGGGTTTGTTACACACATTAGGTTTAAAAACAAACATTGCATGTCCATTAGATGTGTCACGATTGTGTTGGAGGTTTGTGTGAGTACCCAAATGCAGAGGCAGGGAGACTGAGGTGAGTTCTTGCAGATTTAACACAGAGGGCAAAACAGGAATCCAATAATCCAACATAAAAATTAAACACAAACCAGAACCATGGAGACATCGGGGGAAAACAATCACAAGACGCCAGGGTAAGAGGAAGTAAGACGAGGAACCAGCAATGAGGGACTGCACAGGGAGTGTATTTATGGCTGACTGAACAAAGGCAGGACTAACGAGCTAAGGGGCAGGTGTAAGTAGAGCTGACGAGAGAAAGAAGAAAACAAGAGGGGACAACAGAGGACAAGCAAAGAAAAACCTAAGAAACTTAAATAAATCCAGAACAAACCAATAAAGCTAGAAAACAAAGAAAAACATGGATGAACTTTAAACTGAAAACTTAGAGAAAACCAACAGAACTGAGATCGTTACAAGATGAGGAGGATGTTATTAAAGAATGATCAGCATTTTTTCACAGAGAATTAAATTATGAAATATAATATAATAATTAAATATTTATAGGGAAAGCATTCTACAACCCAGTGGACAGGATATAAGATTTATTTGCTCTTAGTTTGTTTAATATGAGCAAGATGCAGATCATTTTATATTTATTTATTTATTTTTACAGCACAATGATTTTCAGATTACACATAAATTGATAAAAAAATCCGCTGGGGGAAAGGAATGACTTTAGGGTTAGGATAAGGAATCACTCGGTAATAACAACCTAATGAGCCTACAGGCACAATCTAAAGCCATTCTATGGGACTGAAAAACACTATTAATGATCATGAGCCTTCAGGATTAGACCTCTGAACGAATCAGGTGCCTTTTGAGGGAGAGGAAGTGGAAATTACTTGGAGGGCTGACAGCTAAACCAAAAACACCTAAAGAATCATAAAATCAATCAGCTGATATTCTTTAAAGGTATAGTGGAGGATTTTCTTTTTACGGGTGCATGATCAAAATAAGTGGTCCTCCTAATCATCGATCATTCTGGTGATAATTTTACAAGATGAGGCTGCAAATTTGCAGGCACCAAAACATCTTTGACGTTTACTTTTAGTCACAGAAAGTGTATTACTTTTTATTCACAGTTTCTGCATTCTTAGTCCACCATTGCTGGATTAGCTCGGCTGCTGCTGCCACATTGCCATCGTCTAGAAGTTGAAGACATCACTCTGTGGACGCCATGAACGATAGAATTTAAGTGCTGAAAGTGAAGGCACTAAAAAAAGCCAGTAAATAAAAAACAGAAAACTAGATTTTTTTTAACTCTAATATTTACCATGTTATCATTTTAATGACACCCACACTCACAGTTTCTAATTTTCACAGAGGCCATGTTAATAACTTTGGCTTTTACAGCAGTTAGTTTCAACGTGTTCAGCATTTTATACATTTGATTTTTATCCTGTCCAGTTTTACTGACAGACTCAATATTTCATCACAGAGTAACATCTTCTTTGATCCTGTTGGGCTCCGTTCCTTCACTGAAATAAACGGTATGATCTGAACTAATCAGCAGCTGGCACAGTGTGAGATCGGAAGTTCCCTCATCAAAGCTGTGAAACCTTTGAAACCTTAGGAGCGCAAAGGCTCAGTGTAAAGAAACTACACTGTTTTTCCTGAGTCATTTCTCAGATCAACATTCACATCGATTTTTTGTGCCGAATCTGTTTTTCTTATTTCAGGATACGGCCGCTGTTTTTTGGTAGCCAATCCAGAAGTGAGGCATGCTGTATAATCGCTTAGAAATCTTTTGGATTTTTCTTAAAACCATCTAAAATAAACAGAAGAATGTGTAAATCCACAGGATTTGTATGACATCTTATTTTTTTAGGAAGCATGAGGATTTTTTTTATTTACACAGATGATCCACTGCTCCGTGTCTTTGATAATGTTAGCGTCATTTTTGTTCTGAGTCACGTCGAGCTTAGTGTTGCGTTTAAACAAATTCTGAACGTCCAGACAAAGATCTGTGGTTGTAGATCCAAATCAAAAAGTACCGATAAAGACAACAGTGCCTCAATTGTAAAATTAACCACAGCCCCTGTAATCTTTACCAATGATGATGGCGTCACAAATTGATTCTGTTAACCGGGTTTTCTTCATGCAAAGGCTTTTCAGTCTGTGCTAGTTGCACCAGCTGTCAGGATTAGTGGATAATCGTTGAGGAACCAAATGCAGAGCTGAAGAGCCAGAGATGATCTCTTGCTAAATTTAATGAGGTAAAAATACAGAAGCCATACTCCAGAACCGATCGACAAGAAACTCAGGACCCAAAAACTAGGAAACACTAGGGAGGAATAAACAGAAGGAATGAGGAATGAAGAGAGTCCAGCAAAGAGTAACTGCAGAGGAGGAATTGAGTATATATGCTGTAGTGGGAAAAAAAGTATTCAACTATTCACTCTAGTTAAATAAACGGAGATTGATGGATTTTACTCAGTTGGCACTTTATTCATATCTTTGCAAAGAAAGAACAGTTCATCATACAGCCCTTATGGCACAGCATTCAGCCCTGTTCTGCCTGAACAGCGTTCGTTTCCCCTTACTTACAACAACGGAAAGTAGTCAGAGTCAAAACAAATTATATGTTATGAATAAGCCTTGAGAAAGAATCTGGTTTCTTATGGGAAGAAAACTAGGAAACACTAGAAACATCCTCACGCTAGAATGGTGTGGCCTTGCAGGTGAAAGAGACTGAGTGAAAACTTTTATAGTGAGTAAACGGGATAAATTAATATATGAAATAACAACAGTCTCAAACAGAATAATGAATGGTGTAATAAACTGATTGGGAGCAGCTGTGGACAGAAGGATCTAGAAGGGAGCTAGGGGAAAGGAGACTGACACAGGGGGGCAAGAAAGAGTAAACAAGAAACACATAAGAGCTCAAATAAAACCAGAGAACAACTAGAATGACACAAAATGAAAATGAAACCAAAGACCCAGAAAACACAGAATGACATAAATCAAAGTGAAACTGAAAAGCTCAGAACCAAAAAGTCCAGAAAAGGGCAGAATCTTTATGCTGCAGTAATACATAAAGATGTATACTCTTGGTTTTATTTTTCATTTAATTAAATGGTACTTTTTAAAACATTCACTGAGATTTAACATCTTATCTAGTTTCTCCAGACAAAAGTGGAACAGACAAAAAAAAAAAGAAAACAATCCCAACAAACAGAGCCTTAGCAAAAAAGATTTTCGATTATCTATCCATCCAACCTGACAATTTTTTTTCATATTTTGTCAAATTAAAACCACAAATGTCAATCATTATAATGCATAAATGTGCTGTCAAATGAAAATGACAGTTTCTTTTTTTGTTTGGTCATTTTGAATTCCTGTTTTTTTTTTTTTTTTTTACCAGAGTAGCTTGACAAACTAAATCTGGGATTTATGTCTGCAACTTTGTAACCAATTATTTGTCTCATTGATCTTCACTGATTATTTTTAAAGCAAAGGATTAAATTAGTGAACATTCAGTTATATTTTTATTTTTTAAAATCTTATTTATGTATTTATTTTTTTATATATTTATCATTTCTATCTTTTTTTCATCTCAATCTAATCCCTCTGGTTGCTCTAAAGCAGGTCACCAACTATTTTGAAGCTGAGAGCTAATTTATTTTTGCTGAGTGATACTAAGGGCTAGTAATACTGTAATGTATTGGAAGAGTCAGTGTTTAGCAAAATTATGTTAGTTTATTTTAAACACTGCCATTCCAAAACCTCTATAAATGCAACAGTGACATCTTATGTTTGATTGATTGTTAATGTCTTTTTGTTCCTACTAGTCATTAGTTATGGCAAATGCTCCAGTGGAATCAAAAATAAATACTGTGTGAATTGTAATAGTTTTTATACTCTTCATTCACCTAAACTTTATCCACATTTAAACATCAGAGCTTTAAAACTAGCTTCCTGCCAGGGCTATCAGATGGTTAGTACATCCTTAGAGCCACTGTTTTTTTCCTCACCTGTGTGAGGTGATGAAAATAAAATAAATTGAATCAGTCTGACTATAATTTTTGTTCAGTATTTTGTTTCCAATTCCTTAAGTTTAAATAAAATTATAGGGGAGTAACTCAGAGGAGCTCAAGTTTTATAAAGGCAAATTTATAGTTTGATTTTATTGTGTATGTAATTTGATTTCTGGGCAACATATTTATGTAGATTTTTTTATATGACTTGGAAATAATAAAATACCAAAGAATTAAATGCTAAAGGTAAAAATATTAAATAAAACACCATTTATTCTATAACTAGTTCTTATACATTCTACTTTTGGACAGCAATCAAAACACCCAAAGGGGTAAACAAGTCAAAAAAGGTTAGGAAACACTGCCTTAGAGAATCAATAAAAAGAAAACAGCCTTTGCCACAAAGGGTTTTTTTCTACTAACAACAGATGTTTCTTATTTACCTGTACCTATTGTTAGGTGAGTTTTGTTTGCACTTAGAGGAACAATGTGTTCCAATTCTCCACCACCCCCCGTTTCCATCCATTAAAGAATGACTTATGCTCACCATGAGCTCACGATAATCTGCCTCTCCAGCTAAGCCTTGACTAAAATAAAAATTCTAACAGAATCCAATGTATAAGTAATGGTTGCCACTGTCATGATTTTATCAAGAGCTCGGACCCACATGCAGAGAGACCAAACCAGAGAGACCAGGGGAAAAGTTTAACAGGTTTATTTAGGAGTTTGTGATGAATCCAGTGTTGCTCTGAACACTGCTTAACCGGAACTGAAAGGTGAGGGGAAGACACTGCGGTTAGCACAGGCTCAGTAAGAATTTTGATTCTCAAACTTGAAGAGGAGAATTTGGTAGATAACTCACGTTTCCAGAGAAGTTGCTGACTCTTAGACTCCAGTCTGTGGCGGAAGTTTCAGTTTGTCTGATTTGGTGGAGGGCGGACAGGGTTTACCCAGAATGCAGTTGTTAGTAGGCCAACGAAGAAGCTGACTGCCACTCAGATTTCCTGCGGTACTTGAACGGGTCGTAGTGGAGATGAATCCCTTACTCAGTGTGAAGCTCAAATGATCTCTTGAAGGAAAGTGGGTTCAAACCTCCAGTTTGAATCCTCAACTCAGTTTGATGCTCAGATGATCCTTCCAGGGAGAGAAGGTCCGAAATATCCAGTTTGCAGGATGACTTCCTGCCGAGAGGCAAAGACAAAAACAATTAAAACTCAGGTTGACAAGAACTCGGTTTGACTAGAGAAACTCAGCTTGGCTAGAGTACCCAAAACTGGCAAACACTCTGGCGTCAAGGTAGTGGCAGTCAGCAGCTTAAGAGCGCTCCGTTAATGAGATAACTCACATCAGGTGTGTAGAGAGGCGGACCAGAACCAGGCGCCTCCTGGTGGAGGAAGGGAGACAAACACAGAAAAAACACATACACAGACAGGAATCCTGACAGCCACTCAAGATAAAGAAGTGAAGTTCAGCGTAAAAGCATCTCCAAATACTAGACCACAGAAGTGGACAAATCCCAAAGTAGTTGTTATCCAGACAACAGATTTTCCCAGTAAACTGCAGCTCCTCCAAAGTACCTATGAGTCTCTTGGCTGCTTCTGTAATTAATAGTCTACTGCTATCTGCTGTTGAACAGATTTTTATAAACGCTTTCAATATTGTTTTATAACCTAAGCCTGTTTTTAAGATATTCATCATCCTGTTTGTTCACTAACGTTCTCTGAAGAATCTCTGAGGTTTTCTTTCTATGAACGCAGAAACAATTTGCCTTGCACTGGACGGCTGTTCAGGATTATAACAGTAAAGGGAACTGAATTAAATTTCACATCGCTCTCCGATTTTTTTTTTAAAGAAGAAAAACATCTAAATTTCAGTTAATTTCCTTCTGCTCATCCATCATGTAAAAACCACCCTAAAATACATGGTTAAACAGGAAAAAAGACGACATTAAAATGAATTTTGGGAAAAACCAGCCAGTATTTAGCAACATTAAACTTTGTGAAACTTTCTGTGTGTAGCGCCATGCTATAAGCGTATATCAGCAACTTTACAAAAACAAAACAAAAAGCAACACAGCTTCCCTCATCTCATTTTCAATGTAGTTGCCAGTTCTGTCATGTGTGGTCTTAATTTAGATCAGAACATCCATTTGACTACACAGCAGTTGACATCGGCATGAATGAGCTGCATGTGTGCCAACATCTAGCGGTTTGTTAACCAGAAGGAAAGGGCTGAGCGTTAAAACTATGACTTGCTTGTTATCTTCAACCTAGAAGTAGATGGATTTCATTAGAACGTGTTAGTGGGATATAAAATGGGCATTTTTGGGGTGAAGAAGTATTTGATATGTAGTCTTTATGGGCTGCTGTCCAGTCATCATTTCCGATTTGTTTTACTGTCTGATGACAGCAAAAAAAAATAAAAATAACGTGCAAATGGGAGCAGTTATGTTGGGAATTTGGCAGAGTTAAAGTAGAACTAGTTTAAAAAAAGACTCAAGCAGATGTAACACAGGGTGGAATGTTAATGCTGTACAGTTCTCTGAGCTGCTAAGTTTGTTTTTGTGTTTTTGCTTTTAATAGTTTGGTGCATCTGGAGGACGAGATGGGTCTCTAGACATAATAGAACTAGACAAATATAGAAATTAAACTGTAACTCACCCCAAAAAAAAATCACTTTTTACATTTAAGCTGTATTAACCAGGTCTATATGGTGCCATTTTATTGTTACTGGGAATTTATTTTAGTGCTGCCCCAAATAGTTAAACTATGGCTATTGCAGTTGAAATGTCCTATTGGTTGCTTTTGTCAGAGGTACAATCATTGTTCATCATAGTGCATGTTTGGATGTGAAAGCAACTCACTCAGACTGAATCCCTCATGTGCTCATATGAGTCGGTATCTTGAAGTAAGTGTCTTGAACCGATGATGGCCCTTTCAGACAGAACACACTTCGTTGCCTTTGCATGGTGTTGGTGAGGTGGCAGCCCTAGCCCTGCTAGCTAGAAGAAAAAGAGTAGCGAGAAATAAGAAGCTTTGGGAGCATGAAAACCCTTAGGTCAAGATAGCAGATTAAGATGTCCCGGCTTGTAAAAGGGCTCAGTTTCCACAGCGACCACAACCGCAAACCTGGTGCAGTGAGTTTGGGAAATTCAATCACACGATTAGTTTCACCGTTTTCTTTCTTCCTGGCTTGCACTTACAAGGAATTTGAATTGGAGTTAATGTGTTTTGCATGTTAGCAATATAAAAAATTACTCTAGCATGCCTTTTACTTTCAGGAAACAAATAAACCTCCTTAAAAACACTGATATATATTATCCTCAACTTATTATGGCGATGTCAAAGGTCCTTGAAATTTCAATATTCATCTTAATAAAAGAGTAATGACAGACACCTGTCTTGTAGAGATCACAGGTCTTTTAACTTGGAGCAAAGAGTTCCAAGATTAGAGGATAATCTGTGTAGTATCTCCTCAACTGTAGTACAGGTTGAACTGACTTATACAAAATAGGAATCCTTTTGTATGCTCTCCAGACTTCCTTCCTGACCACATGCTTCAAAGCAAACATATAGAGGATGTCTAATCTTATATATAAACGATCTTAACATTTTTTCCATCAGCTAATCTCTAATAATCATGTGATGTTTTCCACAGGCTGCACAGACAGAAGGCCCTCCTCTCCCCAGAACAGTTCTTACCTCGTCTGGACGGCGTGCCGGTTGACTACGACAGCCTGACCCTGGATCTCTTCATGCTGGGTTACTTTCACATCTTGGAGTTGGATCTCTCCGTGGATGAAAGGAAAATGAGGCACTTGCTGTGTTTCGAGGTATTCGACCGTGTGGGGAAGTTCCCCTGGGAGACAATCAGAGAGTTTCACAAGGCTGTTGTTCAGGACATTGAGGCTGGAAACCGTGAGTGGAAGGATGGCTTTGAGGACATTAAAGTAAAATTCTTTGGAAACACTGTGAGCGAGCCTGAAGATGCATCCAATGTGGTGAAACACAGCCTGCCAGAGGTTAGGCAGGTTCCTAAAGTCATCATTCAGACACCTACGCCCGATGAGAACATGCTCTGTGGTGGAACTGATATTTCCAGTTTCAGCAATGAAGAAATATGTCAATACATTGATCGCAGTTTTGCTTTTTGGAAAGAGAAAGAGGCGGAGATCTTTGATTTTGAATAGTTTTTTTATGCTTTATAGTCAATTATGAGTTGTGAAACATAGGAAACACCTTCTTTCCTTTTCTTTTAAACATTTCAAATGTTTGCTTGAATTTTATCAGTTGTGTCTGATATAAATGTTCATTTGTATGTTTTTATACTGTTTTATTGCACTGTGCTTGGAAATTAAAAGACAATTTTAAGAGTTTTAACCTTTTAATCATATTTTCTAGTTGTGAAACTAACATCTGCTAAGCTCTGATACAAAAGAGCTTTAATTTCACATTATGATTTAGCTGAGATAGTCCCAAATATCAGAGCTTCTTCCTGTATTTCCTCTTTAGCCTCCTGTTCTATAAGAACTTGTACCCTTGGCAGCAGCTGTAGGTCTCAGACTTGTTGTTTGCAATCTGACTTCAGCAGAGCGTCACTGTTAGTCCTAAAAATAACAGACGGAGCAGACCAACAGGCTGTCCTCCCCAGTGACTTAGCAAACATTTGCCATGTTGCCCACTCCATGTTGATCTAAGCCTCAGGAACCATACTTTCTTTTCGACTTAAAGATGATCCCTCTTTTACCTTTAGTCCATCTTGGGTAAGTTTTTCATTACTGATATCATCTTTTGACTTTATAACCCTGGTAAATTATGGTAGACTTTCCTTTATTTTGTGTTGGGACGACAAACAAACAAGAGAGCTTCACTCAAATGTTTTTTAACTATTATTGGCTTGGAATGTTAAGTTGTCTAGTTTTAACCAGAACAAAGAAATTAAATTGATCAGTTGTTGTCTAAGTATTCTGAAAAATTCGGCCAAAACAGCAAATTCTACTGCACTATTTTGCTGATTTTGTATTTTTTTCCGAATTTTGTTATTTTTCTTTCATGTTTTTAGGTAAGTGCTGACCTGCTGGCTGAAGAAATTACATTTCCATTTTGAAATAAGGTGGATCATGGTGCGTAATGTGGATGATCTGGACTTCTGCCTGTCCTCCCACCCTCAGAGCATCCTGGAAGGCTTGCGTTCGCTCTGCTCGCACCCCAAACTGGTGGATGTGACACTGAGTGCAGGAGGAAGGGATTTCCCCTGCCACCGAGGGGTTCTGGCACTCTGCAGCATGTACTTCCGCTCTATGTTCTCGGGGGACTTTGTGGAGAGCATAGCTGCTCGCGTGGAGCTTCAGGATGTTGATCCCAACATCCTCAGCTGCTTGCTGGACTTTGCCTACACTGGAAAACTGACAATAAACCAGAGCAACGTGGAGGGCTTGATTTGCACCTCCAGCCAACTGCAGTTCCAGACGGTGCGAGCTGTGTGCAGCCGATACCTCCAGCATCAGATGGATGCGACCAACTGCCTGGGAATCCTGGAGTTTGGAGAGATCCACGGCTGCCCTGAAGTCATGGCCAAAGCGTGGGCCTTCCTCCTGGAGAACTTTGAGGCCGTGCAACAGGGTGAGGAGTTCTTATTTTTGGGAAAAGATCGGCTGATCTCCTGCTTGTCTGATGATGGACTAAAAATCCGCTCTGAGTGCGCACGTGTGGAGGCCATCCTGAAATGGGTCGGGCATCAGAGAGACTCTCGACTGTGCCACTTACCTGAACTTTTCAACCTGTCGCATTCGTCCCTGCTGAGCCTGAACTACCTGACTGACACCCTGCTGAAAGACAGCCTCATCCAGGCCTCTCCAAGCTGCAGGGAAGCAGTTGAAAAAGTTTGCAGAGAGGTTAGTGAGCATATGTAGTCATTTCTTAAACTGTTTTCTGAACGTGTTATTTTATTTATAAAAAGACTTGTTACTTTAATCTCTTTAGAAGCAAGATTTAACTCAAGAATATTCTGAAAGACCAAGTCTTCACAGTCCTCAACCAAACTTACAAGAAGTACTGTTTGTGATGGGAGGACGTTCACTTGAGGATGAGGATGACGATGAGTCAGACGAGGATGAAGACACGGATCCAAGACTTCAGAGGTTGCCCTCCAAAAACTGTGCCTTCTACAACACAAAGACAAGTAGGATATGCAGCTATTTCTCCATCTCACACTAACTTGCTTTTAAATTATAACAACACTTTAGAATTTGCTGGCAACCGTCTGTCGGATTCCTTAAACTGTTTCGCAGATATAATAGGTCATTAACTGTACTGTTGACAGGAAAACGACTTTTGGAGAACTGAGTTCTGGATGTGACTAAATTGGATCATCCTCTCAAATCCGTAAATGAGTGTTTTATTGCACATTTTGATGGAAGGCATGTTGTATTTTCCTCTTGGGATTTTTAAGGAAAACGATTGCCGCATCCCATTTAAAGACTTCTGGTTCCACGACCAAGGCAAAACGACACCGGCCACAAATGGACAGCATTGCCAAAAAAAAAAATTATGTTTCATTGCAGACTGCAAAGTAACGACCACTTAATGGTTTTTAAAAAAAAAACGTATCTTTTTTTTCATTTTTGCCTACTTTCTCTCATGCTTTTAGACATTATTCCAATATGTTTTACTTTATTTATGGCTGTTTTCACCCAGTGTACCTCACTGATTGCACCTCTGCAGTAATGTTCTCTTTTTCTCTACAGAAAAGTGGCATGAGCTGCCTAACTTTCCTAATCCCAACAAGTGGGGCTATGCCATGGTGTCTCTAAACAACGATGTTTATGTTACAGGTCAGTTCAACACCACCTGTTACAACAAAAGACAAACACAGCTGAAAATACATGTTTAACTTATGACCCGTATGTTTGCATTTCTTGAGGTCCTCTCTCTAGGAATGCAATAATAAATCAGACTTTTGACAATGTGCGCCTGTTTGTCTGGTAAGGGGGCTCGCGAGGTTCAAACACCAACTCGTGGTCGACCACAGAGACCTGGAAGTACATCACTAGAGAAGGGAGATGGGTGACTGTGGCACCGATGCTACGGCCTCGGACAAACCACACATCGGCAACGCTTAATGGCGAGCTTTATGTAATTGGAGGTAAGAGAGTTAAAAATACACATTTCACAGTTTTAAGGCAAAATTAACACCTTCAAACACTATTTGACTTCCTTTTCTTCATAGTTCATTATCCCTGATTCTCTGGAGAGATATAGTATATCGGTATAGAGATAGATAAGAACTTACTTGTATTTCTCTAGCCCTGCAAAATATGTCTATATGACTTAATATTTCTATTTTGTTTAGATTAGAAAAACACTTTAGTGTGTAGTATTAGGTTTTCTTGTGAGGGAATAGCACTGAGAACATTACCCAACATTTTCGAGATGTTGGGCCTTTAATTAGGGTTGAAATATGGAGTGAATTTTGTTCCATTATTTTGCAAGCAAAAAACACAGATTGATAAAAAAAAATACAATCAAGAAATAAACTTTGAAACTTTAAAAATAGCTACTTGAAAAGAAAAGTAAAAAAAAGTAACTTTGAAAGTAACATTGCTGTTTTCTCAGTTTGTATATTTTTAAATATTTTTTTATTATTTATATTAAATAAAAAAGTTCAAACGTTATTTGTTCCCATTTTTTTAATAGATTTTATCTTTTCAACATTTTCCCAATTTATTTTATTCAGATTGAGTTTTACAAAGCAATTCTTTTCAAATTGTGTTTTCATGTGTTCGCATTTTCTTCTCTTAAAGCCTAATATAACTTGACCAATACAATGATGTTGCTAACATCCATACAGACCAATAGAAATGCTTCTTCGCTCCTCACTCCAAAGGAAGCCTGCCCCCAGTAGCAAAGAGTGATCTTTAAAAAGCAATTTAATGCAATTTATAAAACTCAATCTATCGAGGAGAAATTTAAAAAGAGAAATTCGAGAAAAAATGTACATCAAATAAATAAACAGTAAAGTAAGTCTCAAATCATTTTTAACTAAGAAGAAGTTAAATTTCTAGATTGCATTTTTTCAAATATACATTTACAAAACGTGTTATTTGCTTGCATCAGTAATGGAACGTAATGGTCATGGTAACAGGACCTGTGCATCATCTCATGGGGTTCCTCTTTATTTTATTTCTGTCTTCCATTTCATAGTAAAGAGGTTGACTGACTGTGCAGTTGATTCCTGTTATGCAGGTTTAAAAAACTTAAGAGTTTTTAGTGAACCTTCTTTTTGAAACAGGCCCCAGAGCTACAATGACTTGAAATTGGAGAGGTTTTATTGGAAAGATCCAATGTCCAGTCCTCAAATGTTTTTAACCCTAACCCAAGAGATACGTTTTTAGGCCCTCTTCATTCGAATTACCTGAGATTTAGGTGTTTTTCAGAAATAAGTTGACAGAAAATACGTCTCAAATATGTGCACGGCAGGAGGGTCGGTGTAGCTGGGAGAAATTAACTCAAAAAATTAACCATTTTCAGAATTTTTCTTCTTTAAATGTATCGACAGCAATAATGAATTATGTTACATAGTAAAATAAAGAAGAAAAAAAATGATTAGACTTTAAAGGTGTTTTTTTTTATATGAGATTTGACATGTAGGTGAGTCCAAGAAATAAAATAGTTTTAAAACGATGCATTAGTTTGTTTCCACTTCATGTCTTGTGCTACTATGTTCTTATGGTACTGTATTCCTTTGTTGCACATAAATCCAGTAAGATACATCAATGTTTTGGGTTATCACTTTATGAATGTAGGGGGAAAAAATCAAGCCCTGTGAATGTTAGACTAAAACTATTTTTCATACTATTATCCATCATGCATTACTTAATAAAAGAAATTCAATGAATTATGCTTTTATCTTTTAGGTACAACCTCGGCACAAGTTGAGGTCGAGCATTATGACCCTTACACTGACACCTGGGCTTTGACGTGTCCTGCTTTAAAATATGTGACAAACTTTACGGCCACAGCTTGTTTTGGAAAGCTTTATGTTATTGGATCGTGTGCAGTGAAGTACAACGCCCTGACCATGCAGTGTTACAACCCTGTCATAGGTAATTTTCATTCATGCTGCTTGTCACAATTCATTCACTTCTTTTGCAAAATCGTCAAACCAAATCATACAATGAAAAAAGTGACAACAAGTAGGAAATATTCAGTACATGAAATCTGATAATTCATGTTTCTCTATTTTGTTTATAGATGCTTGGATTAGTATAGGATCACCCTTTATCCCTAAGTATTTGTCTTCACCCCGTTCAGTCTGCATGGATGGGATTATATACCTGGTGGCTGATAACACAAAGAAAGTTTACTCATATGATCCAGAGGCAAACATGTGGCAGAAGGTGGGATTTGGAAATAAAGAAGGATAAAAAATTTAAAAAAAACTTGAGCAGCACCTCTTTTTGAAATCCTTGAATCAAAGCTACTGGTTTTTCATTTACACAGGTCCAGCTTCTTCACATGCTCCATGAAAACGGCGGCCTAGTATCCCTGGATGGAAAGCTGTATGTCACAGGCGGCCACTGGAAAGGAATGGAGGGAGACTACGGGGTGGAAGTGGAGGTTTACAACCGAGCCTCCAACACCTGGGATTTGGAGTGTTTCCTCCCAAGACTATGGTTCTACAGCGGCGTATGCACCATATATCTGGATCCATCCCAGTGGCCTGAGCTTCCACCTTTGGAGTCCACATAAATTCCCATCAAGGATTAATTGTTTCACTTTTGGAGTCAATGAGTTCAGAGACATATTACACTCGTGTCTATATTTAGAGTGCAAACATTATGTCAATCCCAGGATGTCATTTGTGCCAAAAATAGTTTGTTACATGATCCTCGATTATTCTTAAAGCATTAACACATGTTGAGTGCTCAACAGGTGTTCATTCTTCGTATGGTGTGTTTCAGAGGCTTTTGTTTTAAAATATTTGCAGAAATTGTTTTAAGTTATGTTTTTTAGCATTATTATAAATCGGACGTCTTCAACAGGGGTCCGTGACCCCTAGGGGGTCCTTGGATTTACTGCATGAGGGTCGTGAAAGTTTTGGTTGATTAGACTTTTTTTTATATTCCCTCCTACAATTTTTTCCACTAATTGAAATGTCTTTAAATACACATTAACATGAATTCAACACACTTTAGTTTACCGATAAATGGACGCAGAAAATGTATTTTAGTCATCAATGCACACATTCAGCGACACACAGGAGCTCTTTCAAGCTGGGCACCGTTTCCTTCACAACACCTGTCCCTTCAACCAGGAATCAGAATCAGAAATACTTTAATAATCCCAGGGAGAAATTACTTTAGTTACATTACTTCATCTGTAATAGAGTGACTGTAGGACCAGTTTTATATAACACAATTTCATACTATATATATATATATATATATAATTAGAGGGTCCCCTCTCCATCTTGCCATCAGTTTGGGGTCCTTGGGCTAGAAAACGTTGAAGACTCCTGTTTTGAGTTATCATTAGCCTGCTTCTATTTGTTCATGTAACTTAAAAAAAATAAGAAATTAATAAAAAATATATATATATTTTATTAAATGTCCCTTTAAAAACATAACAATGTGTTGTTTGATTATTAACCCACTGAAACCCAGTGGTTTGCCTCCATTGGCTTTAGTGCCTCCATTGCATTTTGTCACCTAGGCAACTTTGTTCAGGCGCGTGGTTTCCATGGTGACTTGTTTGCTACTAGAAGGGATTTGCAGCAGCTGCAGTTGATTCTAAAGTTTTTTAACTTCGTAGCCAGTTGTTTTCCCCTTTATTTTCAAGTCTTTGTTTTATTATTTATGATTTTAACATGACGTCATGCTATACGGGGTCATTTAAATGTTAGCTTTTTTTTTTTTCTTGTGAACGGGATTGTCAAAAAGTTTTGAAGGTCTTTTTTTCCAGCAAAGAGCTAGCTACTGTAACCTTGACGCAGACAAGTCAAAGAAGCTTTATTTAATGTTTACAGCTGGGAAGGTTAATGATGAGTTCTCCACAGGAACAAGCTGGACTCTCACCGAGACTGGAGGCTGTGATTCAGGTCGGTAACTGAACACTTCAAGCTACCGAATTATTTTTAGCAAAGCTCCGTAGAATCAAATGCGGGTCGAAGAGGCGGAGTTGTGAATAATCAGGTCATTTAAAGAACCATTTCGTTCCCTAAACATGAACCTAACTTATTTTTGATTTAGTTCATAACTTGTTTTTCGTAATATTCATAATTAAACGTTTGTAAAGTTAAAAGTGTTCGTCTGCAAAGCAAAAATATGGGAAAAAGATCTATTTTGTGTTCCTGCTTCACATCTGTTATGAAAGCAGTCATCCTCTGACATGCTCAGCTCAAACTAAACGGATTACAATCCTCTGAATCTTTTGTTTTGCCTCTGAAACAGAAGGTTTGATTTTATCCCAACTTTTTATTAGATAAGAATCCAAAGATTAAATTGACCATCTATAATTGATCACAGGTGTCTGCAACCTATGAGGGGTTAAAGGGGACATAATGAAATAAATAAATGTGCCATTAAATAACTCAATGTATCAGGTACTTACAACTGTGCTATATAAATAAATAAATAAATAAATGTTATAAAACATAATTACAGTGGAGGAGGTTATCTTTCCAGGTGGATCATCAAAATAAGTGGTCCTGCTCATTGTCAATCATTGTGGTGATATGTTAAGGTAAGGCCCTCCTACGTGCTCGTTCCCACTCACCGGTAATGAGTCTGACAGCTACTTTTAAACAGAGTGTGCACGAGGAGAAATGGGCTCATGCACACTCTTGCAGAGTTGTGCGTGTGCATTTTTGTTAAAGTGGAGAGGGCAGGTATTTTTTAAAAATTTTGTGAAAATCCTCCACTATACCTGGAATTATAAGTATTTGTCCATACGGAACAATAAAGCATGGTGGTGGCAGTAGCATGCAGAGGGAATGCCGAGGATGAATGTAGCTAAATGTAGGACTTTTTTTTTTCTGTCAAGATTATTTGTATATATATATATATATATATATATATATATATATATATATATATATATATATATATATATATATATATATATATAATTATCATTGATGATGTGTGAGTTTATTACACCTTAATATTAGCTGCCTTTTGCATGTCAGAACTTTTTCCCATTTCAATGTTGAATCTTTAAGGTTAAGGTTTTGGGTATTCCATGCATGTCCATGTGGGACAACACATTTTCTCAGAAGTAAAAAAAAAAAAAAAGACAATATTTTGTGGCATACTTTCTGGTGGCCTGAGAACCGAAAGCTCACTGAACTCAGAACAAACTTTAAATAACACTTCATAACTTCTATGTATTAAATAACCAGGAGACATGACAAAAGATTTTGATAGAAATTATAGTCTTACTCTGATCAGAGAAGTTGTTTAGGGATACAAAATGGCTGCTGCTTATCAACCAGGCTCACCTCTTGGGAAGTGGCCATGATTAACAATTAAAGAAGTATTTTATACAACTCCCATCTGCCGCATCATCATATTTTACATCATACACGTTTGCAGATGAGGAGACATCCATGGCTCCATCCTTATCAAAACTAAAAATCAGGACTATGGTGAGGCGGCCTTCCAACCTTTTAAGACTTGAATCTTAGCAGATGAAACCTCAGATTACCAGAGGAATCATTCTAAAAGCGAAGATGAACAACTAAAACAAGGCCTTGACTGCTGTGATAACATTAAGGCATTAATTACTTAAAAGAGGTTACAAAGTCTCTCTTAAATTAACATCTTTTATTTTCGTCTTAGTTGTAGAACATTTATTATGCTTTATGAGATTCCTGTCTAATTCCTTTTCAGAAACAAACTCCTCTTTTAACAGGAAATCATTTATCAGACATTGTAATGTAAAAAAAGTTTAGGCTTTAGTGCGCAGCCTTATATTTCCTTTAAGTTTAGCACTTGCCTGTAAGTACTGCTCTGTGTTTTAGAATAATCCTTACATGCAACAGCTCTGCTAACCAGCATAACTGCATTGAATTGACTTTTCACGTTCATTAAAGCGATATGTTACACGGTTTGATTGTAGAGGTTGGAGGAGACTCTGCTTCACTCAGACGGCAGCTCAGCAGAGGTTAGCCTGGCACTTCAAGGCGATGAAGAAGGATCCAGAGCTACTCTCCTTCCCATCTCCACTCGAATTTGTCAGATCATCACTCGCAACCTAACCGAGCAGCCAGCTGGTAGGAACAAAAGCTCTGCTCCTCATTTCCTAGACAAAAGCACTGACTACTACTGTATCAAGCATGATCACATGCAAAGACTGAAACCTCTGTATTCCTCATCTGTTTCTCAAACCCAGGTGAGAGCCTCGAGGTTAGCAAGCTGGAGGGAAGCGGTGCCCTAAGGGAGCATTCTTCTCCCAGCCAGAAGGACGGCGATCAGCTGCTGGTCAAACAAACCAGTCTCACAGAGAGGGTAGGAGCAACATTCTGTTGGGCAGCAAGGTTTTTTATGCCAAGGTTAAATCATGGAATGTTATTTGCATTTTTATTGTTTATTGTACCCGTGCTTGTTTTGGCTAAATGTTGCAAAATATATATATATATATATATATATATATATATATATATATATATATATATATATATATATATATATATATATATATATATATATATATATATATTACACATTTAGGGCTGCTTTCTGAAATATTGTTAACTTTATGGTAATTGTCCATGTGTCCTGATAGAGATGAGATTAATGCATTTGGAAAGAAATACGATAACAGCAAACATCAGCATCTCTCTCTAACTGGGACAGCCTTTTTTTCACTAAATAAGCAAATATAAAAAAGATTAAAGGTAGTTTTTTGGTACCAGTAAGAAGTTTTAAGAAGTAATTCAGTCAGAACAGATTCATACATTGTGCAAATGAGGGCATTTCAAAAATGTATTCCATCTTTTTGTTGTGGTAGAGATACTACTTGTGTGTTGACAGTATGTCATCATCATCATCAGGTCATCATACATGTGTTTGTTGGTACAAGTAAGAGAGGTGGGTTATGAAGGGTCTCCTTGTGGTCTGCTCAGGTAGACTCCGACCCCCCCTTATTCCTGACATTCAGCGTCTCCGTTCATTGCCTCCCAAGGTCGCTGCTTCATGTAGTCGCAACTGTTTAGGAAGCAAATTATGAAGGTCGCTTGCCTTTTCCCTGGAGAGCCTTGAGTTAAAAAAAGAACATTTTTCTTTGGGAATAAGCCCCTATTTTGTGACAACACTACCCTCATTCTGTTGCTGCAGTTGGTAGATCTAAATCTGTACATCTTTATTGTTGGTATTTATAGATGCTTAAAACAACACTACATAAAAAAAGAAAACCAAGTGTTTTATGTTTGTTGATGAAGCTAAATTGTCAATCTGATTTAGTGTCTGCAAAGTTTTCTGACATCCAAGAACAAGTAGCGACTCACAGCTCTTAATAAACACTCCTTTATTCAGCTTATCAATGGAAAAACACCGACTTCTTCCCCAGAGAACCTGAGTGCTCCCTTACTTTGTGCCTATTAACATGTAGTACATAGGAAGTTCTATAGAACCCTGAGAAGTACTTCACATTGATATAAATCAGTTCTTATTTTCTTTTTGTCTCAGAATGAAATATGGTTATATTTCAAAATGTGCATTTTGGTGATGATATTGGAGAGTCCATGCCAAAGTGTCAAACCTGCTTCCTTGACTTTGACAATGTTTATTTATTACCCTTTATTTTAAGTTTTCTTTGTTCATTTTGCTTTTTTTTGGGCTTATATGAGAAACACCCAAAATAGTTAATATTCTACATATACTAAAGTTTTTTCTGCATAATTTACCCCTTACATTTCAAAATATTCATGA